AGTTTGCCTAGTTCAAACAAATTTAAAACAATCTAAATTCTTTTCAAAATAAAAAATTATTATTAAATTAAATTTCCTTATAATTAAAATCATTTTAAATGTATTCATCCATATAAACACTATCATAAAATGCCTACTAAATAATAGATATAACATAATATATAAATAATACTATATTAATTATATAAAATGATTTAATTTATTTACCATTAATACTGTTAGCATTTTGAGGAATATGCCATTTGTGAGGAGCAGGTCCTGGCCGGTTTCATGGATGGAAGCTGTGACATTTGCTGCAGATGTTGATTTGGCATATGCATGGGCTGCTGAGACTGATATGGTGGAATATAAGACTGCAATTTGAATTGAAAAATTTAGAACTATTACAATGCAATAACATATCAGTGGTTAAGTCAAAATGTTTTACCTGTGATACAGTTCTGATAGGATTTGTATTAATCGTTCGATTGTAATTTTTCCCAGTATACAAATTTGGTGTAGAATAACTACCCCTGCATAAAAAGTAAGAATAAAAATTAATAAACTGCCACTATGTCTTTAATAAGAATTAGTAAGTTTTACCTGAAAATGATGTAGGTCTTGATGCATACATCGAAACAGAGTTGGATGGAGTTCTTATGGCATTGTAATCTGGACAGTGAAGAGCAGCTGGATTTTGCACTTGCATTTGTTGCACTGGAGTATTTAATAAACCTCTAAGGCTTACATCTAAATTGTGATTAATTTTATAACAATTTTAACAGATATCTATTGCAATTCATGAACCACTCAACAGAAATCTTGTAGCACAAAATGTAACTGTTCATATATCATAGATTAGATCATTTGCGAATGAAAAATATTTCAAATATTGCAATAATAGCAAAATATGAATCTGATTAAATTTAGTTCCCCTTTCGTCAGTATTGTTCCATAAAAACTTGTGTACAATATAACAGAAAAAAGGACTTTTTGCACAAAATATCATTTTATTCACAACACGTTTAAAGTTTATGAAAACTGAATATTATTATCATATTTTCTACAAGATTTAACTATTTTTGAATATATTTTAAATAAATTCATGAAAAGCAATTATCCTCATTGTAGAATAAATTAATCATACAGATATTAATGAATGAAATTAAATATGTATACTCTGATCCTTGCAAAAGTGTTTTATAATACATAGTCAATCAGTTATCTATCTTATTATGTAAATCTGAAAGTGTTTATGGCATTATGCAATTTAAAATAACAAATTTATGATTTTTTCAAAATAATTAAAGCAAATGAAATGAAGCAGATTTCTTAAATATGTTACATTGATTGCTTAGTAAGAATGTATGCTAATCGCAAATAATAAACTTAAGTTTGATGTAGTCAAAAATAACATTAAATTAAACATTAAAAAACAAGAAATAACTTCAAATAAATTTCTATGCTTCTATTCTAATGTTAATTTATACGCTTTAGTTCAATGATACAAAAAAAAAGTATTACAAGATGTATAGAAAAGAGAATAATATTTGTTTAATAATTTTTAAATACCTATATTTTGAGGATGCGTGGAGGAGCTGACTTGCTGATTGCGTACAATATTAGTTGGATGTCGAAGTAAGCTTGGAGATTGTCTTCGGATCATTCCCATCGGAAGTATTTGTCTATGTTGTGGTGCTGCCATAATAAAATGTAAAACGCATTTAAAAAGTGATCAATGAAACTTAGATTGAAATATTAATAATAAGAAACAAGAAACTATTCAAAAAGTACTTATATTAAAAGAATAATATGAAAGAATATCTCTGCTCTAAAATCAATCATCACGAGCTTATTATTTCGTAGGTGCAAAACAAAAATTCAAATAAAAATTGCCATATTTTACAATACATATTTAGCCAATCTGATTTGACAATATTTTGTACAATCGCTTATTGTGGTATGACTTTCATAAATCAAATAAGTTCGCTAATTAGCTTTGAATTGATTACACAAACTACATAAAAAAAACAAACTCACCTATCACTGATGAATTCATCTGATGATGTGATTGTTGATTCAAATTTGGAATGGATGAATATGCTGGTGGCATATACTGCTGTTGTTGAGGAGGCATGTTATGCATTCCAACCCGGTATTGTTGTTGAGATGAGGGTGATGGTGTGCCCATTGGTCTCAAAAGTCCGCTTTGTTGAGATTGATTTTGATTACAATTTGTTTGTGATTGCATTGAATTCAAATTTTGCTGAGGTAGAACTTGTTGCTGTGATGGGGCGGATGAACAATATGTTTTTCCATCAACTACGATTGTTGCAATAGATGAAATAACTAAAATAACAATAGATGTGTGTTATTATTTACATACATAAAATTCCGCTGTTAAAACATTTAAAAAGATTTAGTGAGTAGTTATCAAACACATATAACATGTTACTATAAAAATTTAGTAGTGTAAATATACCTTTTATTAAATCTGGAACTTTTTCTAAAGCAAGATGTATCCTTACAGGAATTTCAGGATTTGGAATATCGGCTCTTCTGCACTTAATGCGTTGTAAATGATTAGTCACAATGCGTTTACTGAACAGAACTGCACTATCACTACACTATAATTCCAATAAATTAAATTATAAAAAAACATAAATTCAAGTATACAAAAATTAAAATATATGTACCTTATCCAATGCCCCATTGACAAAATCTATACAATGATCTGTCTGTTGTGATAATTGTTCTAATGCTAATTTTTTTTCACTCAAAGTTTTTTGTTTTAACTCGCATACCTCATTTAGCTTCATTACTAATTGTTTTCCTCTTGTATTTATAGCATTTGTCAACCTGATAAAAATGTGAAGTCATTGAAAAGAGTTTAAAATTATTCAAAAAATGAAAAGAAAATAGCTAATAACTTAAAACAATGCTAATAACTCCCTAATTAACTACTAGGAAAAAGATAAGTACATGAATATTTAGAATATAATAAATCTTTTTAATTATTAATAGCCCAGTCATTTGGTACAAAAAAATGCTGTTGCCTAGAAAGTTTTCCGAGAGTTTTGAAAATTGGTGATTTTATAGATTTTGATGTGATCTTTACGAATTTCAACTTTGCCACCTCGAATTTTTGCCGCTGCCGCCGCTATATTGGAAAAATTGCGTCAAAAATCAGTTTTTCAACGATATCTCCTTTCTGACTCATGTTACATTAAAATATCTATATACAAAATTAAACTAGACAAAATTTTCTATAATTTATTCAATAACGTTTTTTTCTGTACCGTCAATAGTTTTAGCGTACGTGCGCCGCAAAGTTTCTGCTGCTCGCGCCACCATCGGATATTTAGCCGCTCTTTGCGCTTGAACGCATTCTCTCTAATAAATATATAATTTCAATAATGAATTAAGCTTTTCTGCTCAGGTCTGGCCTAGAAATAACATAAATTAATCATTTTTGTTTTTCATTTTTATTTTTGCTGATGATTGAACATTTTAAACCATTAAATGTGTAATTTAATGCAAATATGAAATTGTTTGTAAGAATAGTTTTGACTATTGATTTGATTGATTGATTTGACTATTGACCTCAGTCCTTCTAAAAGTTTACCTTTATTGTTCTTTCTTTGAGCACTTGATTTACAAAAAATGCAAGTAAACTAGCATACGGAACGATAAAAATATACTGACGTCTAGAAAAAATACTTGATTGATTCTGAACTACGGTTTGTCGGTTTTCAAAATCGGTTTTTTAGTGAAAAAAGTCGGTTTTCACTGTATAAATGGAAATGACAAATATAGCCAAATATAAAAGATAGATAAAAGCATTTTGATTCTTGAAATCATATCATTTCTATAGCATTTGATATCTTATCAGTCTGCAATGATTCCCAGAAATAGTATATATTAATTTAGATTTTTATACCAGTGTATATATTAATTTAAATCAGTGTGACTTCTTCTTGAAGAAGTAACTTCCTCTACTCAAACTTAAAAAATAAGAGTTTTAAACCTTAGAAGCTACAAATTAAAGAACAAAAAATTTGGAATTATCATATCAGACATTAAAAACAATTAATTTGGTCGCAAGTATGAGAGTATTTTCTATTCCAGGAAATTTTGATTCGTAAACAAAGGACACGTCTATGTAGAAATTCGATAAATGTTCTCAGTTTTTTGGAATCGTATTTTATTAAACAAAAAAACAATTAGAATGTTTAAAATTAGTTAATTAAAATTACTCGGAACAGACAATATCCGAGTTTAGCTTAATCATTTTTAAAACTAAAATTGATATTAAAAAGTATGTATCAAAATGTATCTACTATATATATATATATTTTTTTTAATTTAATGATTTTTTTTATTTAGAAATGTATTATTTTTATTTATTTGAAAACTTTCTTTTCACTACCATAAAAATAATTTCATTCTTATATGTGAAAATGATAAATACGAATAATTATTTTCAAATTTATTTAATCAAGATAAACTATAATTTTTTAGTTCTACTAATTAAAATTAAAATGAATTTGTTTACTATCTATAAAATTGAACAATAAATAAATTCAGTCAAATACTGCTCTAAATTACATTAAATTTGTGGATAAATTACAGAATGTTCGAGCAAAAATTTATTTTCTATATAAAATTCGAAAACCGGTTAAAAACGTTTTTTTTAGTAAAATTAAAATTCGAAAACCAGTTTTCTGAAATGTCGGTTTTTGTATAAACCCTATTCTAAACATATTATACATATTTAGATGTAGAAATACAGATAATTGGCGTTGTGTGTTGTTATTAGAAGATAATATAATCTTATATACAATACGCAGTAATCTATCCGTTGCAATCGAGTTATTAGAACGATTATCGCCAAAGATTATTCCTATATACAGTTCCAATTTGAGTTCATTCAATATTTTCATAGTTTAATAATCCCAAATTTATATAAATATTGCCAAAAAAAAAAGAAAAAAATGCATTAAATTGTATGATTTAAAATGTTCAATCATCAGCAAAAATAAAAATGAAAAACAAAAATGATTAATTTATGTTATTTCTAGGCCAGACCTGAGCAGAAAAGCTTAATTCATTATTGAAATTATATATTTATTAGAGAGAATGCGTTCAAGCGCAAAGAGCGGCTAAATATCCGATGGTGGCGCGAGCAGCAGAAACTTTGCGGCGCACGTACGCTAAAACTATTGACGGTACAGAAAAAAACGTTATTGAATAAATTATAGAAAATTTTGTCTAGTTTAATTTTGTATATAGATATTTTAATGTAACATGAGTCAGAAAGGAGATATCGTTGAAAAACTGATTTTTGACGCAATTTTTCCAATATAGCGGCGGCAGCGGCAAAAATTCGAGGTGGCAAAGTTGAAATTCGTAAAGATCACATCAAAATCTATAAAATCACCAATTTTCAAAACTCTCGGAAAACTGTTAAGGTAAAACTACTAAATGACTGAACTATAAATTTAATACATTGAATAATTTCAGTATCAACTAATGATTAAAAACTATAATATATTTATGATACCTGATAACCATTTGAGCAATTTCTTGCACAATACATTTCCTCTTATCTGTTATCAGTGACTGTCGTTCATCTATTACTTTCATAGCACTTGCTAGCAAAACCCTTTTATAGCTGAATAAAACAATAAATAAGTAATTAAAACATAAATAATTGAAGTCATTTATATAATGCATACCTGACTTCTTCTAATAAGCTATGAATAAAATTACGAGCTTCATCCGCAATTTCATGGCTAAATTTATATTTATGATCCCTGTGGCCTGTTAGTTGGCAATCACGGCAAGTTAACTTATCACAGGTTTCACAAAATAGGGACAGAATCTCCTAAACATATACAAATAATTATAAATAGATAAACAACTATTCTTAATAGATGTATAATCATTTTTTAATTAGGTTGATTTTACCTGAGGATGCATGGTGCAATAAAGCTTTGGTGAATTTTGATTGGCCCCAGATTTGTGGTTAGATGAATTCACACTATCTTTAGGTTTTATAGTATGTTCCTTTGTTATTTTCAATCTAAAATAATCAAATTATATATAAATGTGTCTTCTGAACCTATATAAAAATGAAACTTAGCAAAGCTAATATTTTACAGTAATATATGCGCATACTTTAACTGTATAGGATACAATAATAGTCCTGCAAAACTCGTTTATTTTCACTGTGCTTTTTCAAACCCATTCAGTTCTATGAACAACATAAACTTGCACTTTTGCAAGCATATAACATATCTTATATGAGTAAAAAAATAACAAATAATGGTGATCAATATATGATGGCGGTTCAATAGTTTTCCAACTAATAATAATTAACAAATTTTAATTATAGTAATGGTGATCAATATAAAACACGTTAAAAAATCAGCTCAGCTTTGTCATTTTTGTCAAGAGCCATACCTCTTAAAATAAGCTTAGAATCTCAGAACCATACTGTTGTAAGAAGCATTTATCATCTCATACACTTGTTTTAAACCAAAACACATTACTTTGTCCTGAGATCACCACCATTATTCAACAATGAAAAATTTTACACTTACAAGTAAACCCCATATAAAACGTTACTTCTATAACACGGATTCGCTATAACATGGTTTGACAATTGAGTCCATCTCCCTTATAACACAACACAGTACTTTTAAAAAACGGGTTTGCTATAACACTGTTTTAGTATTGAGCAATACCCTAATAAAATGAAAAATATAGTAAAACCTATAAAAAACAATCTTTATCTAATATAAAAATAGTAAAACCTCCATACAATAGATCAATAAATAACTCATTTGACATTGTTTATTCAAGCTCATACGTTCCATCAAAAAAAAGGTCTAGGCTCATCTGGACTGTTAGTCACTTTTCAAACAAAAATCGTTTAAATAAAATGAGCACAAAATTTTAATAAAAGTAGGTTTGCATGTGCTTTGTATTAATAAATAAATATGTAAATTTCTTTTCACGAGAAGCAAGCAATCGCAAATATAATTTTTTTTGCAAAAAATACCGCATGAAAATGTAGATAGTATAAAAAAATGCTCAGAGAATGAGAGTATCTTTCCAAAAAATGATCGGCTTGGAAAGAACTTGTTTGTTAGTTATGACAAAAAATGATATAATTCATTTATGGTCCAATTCTGCGGTAACACAGTCGATAACAGCGTTGTTATGGTAACGCTATGTTATCCTTCTTTCTTGGTAGTAAAAACTAAAAACGCTATTTCTTTGCTGTGCGATCAGACATATTTTACATATAAACAAACCCAGAAAAAATGTTATGATAACTGCATCTTTGTGATGCACATTTATAACATACCGTTTTATGTGTAGATCACCTGATCGTACAGCAATTAAATAGACATTTTCACAATTTTTACTACCAAGAAATGAACATAACATAGCATTGGCATAACAACTATGTTATCGGCTGAATTACCGCAGAATTGGCCCCTTAACATTACTACATCTTAAGGAAATTTAATAAATATAATAATATTTATTATTAAATTAAAATACATAGCATGTTTTTAACTTCCCGAAGGAGAAGTTTGTTTTCATCAAAAAATCCGGTTTGCTAATTTTATGTTTTCTCGAAGTTTCTAGCCATTCTGAATCGAATGAAACCAAATTTGGAAAAAGTATGTGTGTGTGTGTATGTGAACAGATTTTTTGCCGTAAATCGACGTTTTCTCAAAAACGGCTAAACCGAAAATTTAAAAGACATTTGATGGATTGAGAAAATGAGTAGTTTTTTGACGTTTGTTAAAATTAGACGATTTACTTGGTATAACGATAGAGTACTTGGTCTTAATGAACAAACTAAATCATTAAAGTCCTACAGGAACTGGTTCAATTATAAAAATTATTGTTTTTTGCAAATTTGCTTTTAGAAAATGCTACGAGTTAACGTGTTTTTTCGTTTTCAATGATGTGTAATAAATCTACTCGAAATGCTACTAATCACTCATAAATTAATTTATTTTTTATTGATTAAGTCCATTATTTGCACATATCAAGAAGTTCATGTAACTTGCCTCAAGGCAAAATACCAATACCAACTAGTTTTTTTTAATTACTTGAAACTTAACCCCTCTTTTTGTACTAAACTTTTGTCCCGAATAATATGTATTTGCATAACACGGTAGGTTTTCAGAATGTAACTACCGTGTTATATGGTATATACATACATCTAAAGATATAGCAATTAAAAATTACCTTTGATGTGCCAGCACGCAATTAACACAAATATATTCTGCACATTCTTCACACCAATTTGATGCCAGAGCATCCTCTGTGCAACTGCTGCATTTAATATCACTTTCTTCAGTAGGAATGGGTGGTTCATCAGTTAATTCCGTGATGAAACGATTATCTATAATCTGTCCCAACATGCTAGGCATATTGCACAAAGCACATGACACTGTATGAGGTTGCACTACAATGGATAATAAAGACATATTCTACTTGTTGGCAATTATAAATTAGTGATATAATTTGCAAATTAAGAAAAAGCTAAATAAGATGTCGAAAATCAATTATTATTTAATATCATAATTTTATTAATAGTATTTGAAATTTAAATTTTTTGATTTAGATATATGTTTGTAAACACTAGCAAGGTAAATAAACATATTAACACTTAACAGAATTTAAACAGGTTGAATCTTTTTGTCTAACCTTTTGCCTAACCTAGTTTCAGGGCATTTTTCAGGTAAAATCTTTATGTTTTTGGCATACCTTAGAAAAAAAATCAATGTATGTGTGTGTGTGTTCAGATACAAATTTTCGTCGACGATTTTGAAAACACTGATCAACCGAATTGAATAATTCAAAAAACATTCGATTCATATTGATAAGGATACGTGCTGATTAATTTTTGGAAAAGGTAGGTCCAACAGAAAATAAAAATCAAGTTTTCGAGAGAACAGAGCATCGGATTTGAATGATCTAAAAAACATTCAATTTGTAATGATTGGGAGAAGCGGTGATTAGTTTTTAGCAAAAGCAGGTCCAGCCATTTAAAAGATACAGAGCTACATGTACAAAAAATGGCAGTTTTTGAGAGAAATAAGTATCTGATTTGAATGATTCAAAAAACTTTCTGCTTGTGTTAACGAAATAATTGCTTTTGGAAAAAAAAAATCTCATTCAAATTTATTTTCAAATTTTTTTTTTTTTTTTTTTGAATATCGAAAATAATTTAGATTTCAATTTTAATTCTGGTTAAAGTTCTAAAGCTCACATATATACTTTGAGTGAATAATTTTAACTTTGCAATTCAGTTTATATAATTCTTATAAATAATAGACGATATTACAGAATTTATAATAATCTTTTTGAAACGATTTAATATTCTTCAAACATTTCGTTATGGTACGGAAAGTTCCAGCAATTTGCCTCAAGGCACGATGCCATACACCACTAGTTTAGAATTATTTCTTAAAATCAATACTTGCCATAAGAGCAACGAATAGATTGTACTATGAATAATACTTTTATGCAAAAACGTAGATGTACGTGGCCAGTCCAGGAGATCAGAAAAAAACAACATAAATCTATGGGATCTGCCCATTAAGTGTTGAATCAGCATTAGATTAAATGGCAAATAAATCCTGAAAGATGTATTGATTTCAATAATCAGTTTTATAAACATTACCATTTGCGTTTGGCAATACGCTCTCTGCCAACTTCTGTGTCAAACATTGATCACAAGCAGCGTGTAAACATTCCAATAATTTAGGATTGTCATTTGACCTTAAGTTTAAAAGGCACCATACACATTGCATTAGAGCCTGTGATTCTTTGGAACTTGGTTCAACAAAATCAGCATTCTAGAAAGTAAATCCATCTGTTATAAATAATATCTGACATATATGCACTTGATACATTTGTAGAACATCTTTGAACCTGTGTGTCAATTGAATCCCTATTTGTTTCACCAATTTCCTTTTTAACTTCGACATCGTAAGGCAGTGCGTTTAATTCCATCTTGGAAGTTTTCTCTCCAGATCTGTCTATAACACCCAGCTCAAACCACTTCCAACTTTGTGATCATATTAAATCCATCATACACTATATTGATGAGATAAAAATTTATTGGACACTTGGTAAAATATTACCTACAATATTTATTTGCGTGTACAACATGTATTACATTTCGAAAAAAACAATAAACATAAACTCACAACATCACGGACATTTACATTTGACTTGAAGTATTTCTGACTTCTGTACTTCGAATGTATAGACACACAACTACCATGCAAAAGTGTGTATTTATAACACCATTCATAGATGGCGCTCACAGCTATCAAAAATCCATTGATTTATAAATAATATTAAATGTTTTAAATAAGCTTACTTAAAATTACTTAGAAATATATTAACTAAATTGGAGATATAATATTTGACATTTGACAGCTTTAAAGTGTTCAATTGACATTTTATCATCTTGGCTATGTTTTGACACCTAACCTTTGCAAGAAATTGGCATTCTATGGGCTTTCCCAATATGGAAAAGGAAATCATACGAACGTAAACATCTTTTTCATTCAAGTTTAGTTGAATCAGTAATAAAACCTACCCCGGAAAAAGTTAATAATAAATTAAAATCATGCAGGCAGCTATAATCAGGTAATAAAAAGATTTTATTTACGTAGTATTGATATATACAAAGCTAATAGTGATTTTAGTCATTACACAACTGCTTTTTGAGAATAACGATTTTGAAAACTTTTTAATTAAAAACAGCGAGTAATACATATGTTAACTATAATTTATAGATAATAATCAGTTATATCTGAACTGTTTCTGAGATTATGGGTCTGACTTGCATATGAAAGCAGTTAAGTTGTAAATTACAATTTAGAAACATTGATTGATTATCCAAATTACAATATATTATGAAAGCGTTTGACATTAGAGCTTCTATGATGCTTAATAAGTGCTAATAATGAATTTGTTATTTTTGTAATTGACGTATTTTTAACTTTATAACGTTTATATTGTTTTCAAATCCTCGACAGATGGCACTATAAAATCTTTTTTTTTTCACAAATAATAATAGTTGCTCTTTTGTTTTTGGCACTGTTGCATAAAATAAAAGCCAGGATCGTTAATATCCAATATTTGCTTTCGTTAAACTTGAAGAAAAATTTGCCTCCACGCCAGATTAGACGCTAGTCAGGTAAATCTTTTCGTTTATTGTAATATTAAGAAGTATAACGTCTTTATGAAAAATTTAAGAGTAAAACGAATTAATTATTTGAAAATGATGTAACAAAAATATTAAATTAATAATGGCAGCCATTTTGTATTTGGTGATCGGGGTATATACATTTTTTCTATATCTGTCGAAAAGGTTGCGTCTCCAAAAACGTAAATGATGGGTAAAGCTTTGTTCCCGAAGAAGAAGTTTATGTTTTAGCAAAAAAGTCCGAATTGCTAATTTTATATTTTCAACGTTTTAAGTCATTGTAAATCGATTGTACCCAACTTTGGAAAATGTATCTGTGTGTATATATGAGCCGATTTTTGACATTTCGTCGGCGTTTTCTCAAAAACAGCTGGATCGATTTTACAAATTTAACTAACAATACTATTTTTAACTTCCCGTAGGGCAAGTTATAGTAATCGCAAAAAAAACGAAAATGAAAATTTTCGCATTTTTCGACGTTTCAAAGGTTTCTGAATATTTTGGCATACCTTAGAAAAAATGTATGTATGTGTGTGTGTGTGTGTGTGTGTGTGCGTGTGTGTATGTATGTGCGGATACAAATTTTCGTCGACGATTTCGGGAACACCGATCAAGCGATTTGAATAATTCAAAAAACATTCGATTCGTATTGATAAGGAGACGTGCTGATTAGTTTTTGGCGCAGTCAGGTCTAGCCGTTCCGAAGATACGGGGCAAAAAGTGCCGAAAACGGTAACTCAGTTTTTAAGAGAACGAAGCGTCCGATTTTAATAATTCAACATTTTACTTGTATTGACAAGGTGAAGAACAGATCAAATTTTCATAAAGGCAGGTCTAGCGGTTTCGGAGATCTAATGAAAAAAGTAAAAAAATGCCATTTGGCGGTCAAAAATGATCATTAGACATATGCACATCAAATTTTCAGATATTTTATAGAGATTTTAACAATAAGTATAATTTTGGTTTACATTCCTATGGGTTCCGTACCAATGTTTACGCGTTAGACGTCGACGCGGCGCTTATGCGGTTTGATATTTCGTCTTTATGCAGTTAAAACAGTACGATTGCTTTGAAAAAAAAGTTGAGATCTTTCAAAATATGTATAAAGAAAACATTTTTTATCAAAAAAAAAAAAAAATTAAAAAAAAATTTTTTTTCAAAAAAAAAGTAATTTTTTGTCTAATTGTCAAAAATCTTATTTTTTCGAAGTAAATTTTTTTCAAAAATGTTAATCGTTTTTAAAAAAATAATAATTTTTGGTACGGGAAGTTCCAGCAATTTGCCTTAAGGCACGATGCCTTAATTGCCTTAAGACAGAATTCCACTTACAGCTAGTATTGACAAGATGAAGAATTGATCAAATTTTCATGAAGGCAGGTCTAGCGGTTTCGGAGATCTAATGAAAAAAGTAAAAAAAAATGCTATTCGGCGGTTAAAAATGATCATTAGACATATGCATATCAAATTATCAGATATTTTATAGAGATTTTAACAATAAGTATAATTTTTTTTCACATTTCTATGGGTTCCGTACCAATGCTTATGCGTTAGGCGGCGGCGCGGCACTTGCGCTGTGACATTTCGTCTCTATGCAGTTCAAGCAGTACGATTGCATTGAAAAAGAGTTCAGAATTTCCAAAATATGTCAAAATGAAGAAAACATTTTTGTTTTCAAAAAAATTTTTTGTTTTCAAAAAAAAAAATTTCTTTCAAAAAACAATTTTTTTTTCAACTAATTTTTTTTTTCAAAAAATAGTAATTTTTTATCAAATTTATAGTTTTTCAAAAATCTAATTTTTTTGAAGTAAATTTTTTTCAAAAATGTTAATCGTTTTTAAAAAAAAATAATAATTTTTGGTACGGGAAGTTCCAGCAATTTGCCTTAAGGCACGATGCCCTAATTGCCTTAAGACAGAATTCCACTTACAGCTAGTTGGAAATAACCCAACATTTTTGAAATGATATTGAAAATAAAAAATAAAATTAGTTTTTACGCATATTTTTACATAATATCGCATATTAAATTGTAGTCTGATTATATCAGTCGAGTATTTAAAAATTAAATTGTTGAAAAAATTAAGAGAGGTACAACCATTTTTAACTTTCCGTATGGTATGTTATGGTAGTAATCGCAAAAAAATCAAAAATGAAAAATTTTATATATCTTTACGTTTCAGAGGTTTCTGAACATTTTGGCATACCTTAGAAAAAATGGATGTATGTGTGTGTGTGCGGATACAAATTTTCGTCGACGATTTCGGGAACACGGTTCAACCGATTTCAATTATTCAAAAAACATTCAATTCCTATTAATAAGGAGGCGTGCTGATTAGTTTTTGCACAAACAGATTTAGCCGTTCCGAAGATACGAGGCAAAAAGTGCTAAAAACGGTAACACAGTTATCAAGAGAACGTAGCGTCCGATTTTGATAATTCCAAAAACATTTTACTAGTATTGATAAGACGAAGAACTTATTAAATTTTAAAGGCAGGTCTAGCGGTTTCGGAGATGTAGTATCAAAAGTAAAAAAAAAATGCCATTTTGAAATCAAAAATAATCATTAGACGTATGCACATCAAATTATCAGACATCAAATCATAGTTGATGTTTTATATTAAAAAGTCAAAATATAGTTTTAAATAAAATATTAAAGAATGTTTAGTAATAAGTAACTGTTATTGAAATTACACTGATGATGAGGTACACCATGGTCTCGAAACGTTTGTAATTATAAAATAAAGTTAAAAATTAAATGTGTTAAATGTGTTAAAAACATCTGAGTGCTGTTTTGTTCATATCAAACATTTAATATTCGTTCCACTCATATCATAAAATTCTATATTATATATATATACATATATATATATATATATATATATATATATATATATATGATTTAGTAGTTAATTTTGATGTTGAAATATATGAGTGAGTTCTTGAGGGCGATACATCAAACAAAGAAAAGGCAAAGGTTTATAAAATAATCTTTAATTCCAAACGTTTCGACATTCAATTTAATGTCATCATCAGTGGATCTAAAAACAGTATGAAAATTAGTATATCTAGGTAATTATAATATATGTGGATTGGTATAGTAACTATAAAATAAGAGAAAAATTAACAAACAGCAACACTTAACAACAAACAAAATATAAGAGATAGGAAAGGTAATAGAGACTAGAATTAAATAAATAATTAAAAAATATAGGCAAAAATACATAAGTACACTCATATAAACCTACGCATATATACATATATATACATATACATATATACATATATATATATATATATATATATATATATATGATTTAGTAGTTAATTTTGATGTTGAAATATATGAGTGAGTTCTTGAGGGCGATACATCAAACAAAGAAAAGCCAAAGATTTATAAAATATGTGAAATAAAGATTATTTTATAAATCTTTGGCTTTTCTTTGTTTGATGTATCGCCCTCAAGAACTCACTCATATATATATATATATACATACTGATTGTTTCTTTTCCGAACAGTAAATCCAATAATAAAAAACAATTTGTTTTTTGAAGATGTTTAATACGACGTTTCTGAACTAGGTACGTTCCATCATCAGGTTTATTCTGTCAAATACAATGTTTTTTAAAAATATTGATTAACATTAATTAATGATGGTCAATACAGATTAATTAGAAAAAAATGTTTATAAAGGAATGGATTATGTACCGGGGTAAAGAGTAATAAGAACTAACTAAAAAAGGTTTTATATAAAATTGAGAAGCAAAAATTATTTACCTGTAATAATTTATATATCCATATCACTAATATTTTTTTGTTAAAAACACTCGATTTTTTTGGAGAATATTTGTAGATGTTACGACTACACAAGACTTAAACACACTGATACGGAGTTCTGTCGGCCAGATGTAAAGGACAACGTACGGAATTCCTGGCAAAAATGATTTTTTATGGCTCTTGTATTGGTAATTTACAAAAAAAGAGGAAATAT